TTACTGTGCTGTTCACTATCAACAAGAGAAAAAACAAGTACAAGTATCAAAGCGTCTCCAAAATTGGGAGAGACTACGTATCAAGCAATTGATGTAATGTGTTCATAAAAATACAATGAGTTACACAATAGATAAAACGACAATAGAATACAATAGATTTTCTGAAGACATTACATCAACTGATAGCTATGTAGGTTCTTCCCTCCTAAATTAGCCCTATGATGCAACGCGTTCTGTAGCTACACGACAAGACTAATCAGCGCGCAAGGGCTGCGCACAATTTATTTAGAAGGGTTTTAGCTCGCCGCACCGTGGGCTTTTTATCGTAAGGTATTTGACTTCATCATGAGTTTTTGCTGTTGAATGTTAATAAATCGTTTATTGGATGAGCTGAGGATTATTCCCGAAAGCAACTTTTTTAGCGAACTTTATCACATTATCCTTTCCTGCATTGGTAAGAAAACCAGTAGTATGAATAAGCAAAASGCAAACTACAAAACTTCCTTCTTTAAAAAGTTATTCAATCTTAAAGTTGGAACGTCAGAAATTTCAATATCGGTTGACATTTTACCGCATAAAAGACGAAATACTCAAAATATATATGAAAAATCACTCGCGCACTTTCGTGGTTTACTCTTTTGCTTATTCACAACGTGCAATTTTTTTTTTTTTTTTTTGGCTATACGCACTAGCGGCATGTCCATTAATGCACCTCTATGGAACGTACCCAATTTTGTTTTAAGGCTCCGTAATTGTTTGAAATTAAAAAATCGCTTTTAAATAATATTATTTTCGAAATCTTTATCATGAGAGCTTTAAAACGATATATTTTTTTAATGGGTTTTGTTGAATGTGTTGCGAAGAGAGAGTCTTAAAAAAACATACTACCCCTGAAGGTCTCCAGTWAACTTGAGAAATATTTCCCAAGACTGGGGTAAAGTATTCCGTAACATCCACCCGCAACAGAACCACCCAAACCCATGAGCTCTTCCTTACAAGTTCCTCATGGCATCCGAATTTGTTAACATACTCTTACATGTTCATCCAGCCTTCAGTAATTTGGAATTATAGCGAAAACGGAGTCATTTCATAGTTAATACTCCTTGCAGCACTTTTTTTTGTCCCCCAGATCGAGCTGCTTTGATGTCGCATGTTAGGGATCTATTGGAGACTTCATCACGTTTTTTTCCAAACTAATAGAATAATCAAACTAATAATGACCTGTCTTCCCAGCTAATGAATTGAGTTCCATACAATTTTGTTTAACTTATTCATAGCTTGACCCACTATAGTCTTCAGTCGATTTTGGCAATTCTTCCTTCCCCATGAATACAATTATGGCTAGCTTTGCGCTTTAGTTACTGCCGTTACTTGTTATTTGTTGAATTATGTGAGTTGTGTGACGGCCATCTTTTCTTGGAATTATTCACAAACAGCAAAATATTCTGGGAAGACACCTGAAATTAGAGTCGTCACTACACAACATAATTTAGTGTGAATATCTTTCAAGCTCAAGTAAAATAGTTTCAGTAAGTTTAGAAATAAGTGATGCCTACTTACTTCAGTGGTTCAGTACGATCTGCCGATCGTATTTTTACGTACTCAGTTATTTTTAACATGATAAAGCAAGACG